TGCAGTGAGCTGAGATCGTGTCACTGCACTCCAGCCTGGGTGACAAAGCGAGATTTCTTCTCAAAAAAAAAGAAAAAGAAAAAGAAAAGAAAAGAAGGCTGGGTCCGGGCTTAGTGGCTCATGCCTGTAATCCCAGGGAGATGCAATCGTCAGGTTGTGGAAAAGAAATTTTTGGGGAGTTAGCTACTTGTGTGTTCCTTCAGGTTGGTAGAGTCAGTTGCTTCACTGGCACACAGGACCTAAAGGAATCTCTCAAAAGGAGCATTTGATGTTTCATAATGTCCAAGTTGCTATCTCTAGTGCAGTTAAGGGGAACTGTGATCTTGTAACCAGATCTACGTGATTCTAGGACAGCAGGTACCGGACAACAAAGAGGAAGCAGGTAGTGGGCAGCTGACGTCATGATCAGCGCTGGGTGTGCTGCAAGCCTGGTGTGTTTCCATTTCTCCTCTCTGTTCTCTGATCAGTTGTGTAAGGTTTACAGGGACGGTTTCATTTTCCCATCCTCAAGCCTCCAGTTGCCTGTAAAATCCACCACGAGGAAGTTTATTTTCTTCCTGCTCAGGGTTATACCTTCATGACACTGCTGAGCACACCTATGACAAGCCAGTGCGATCAGCCTGGAGTAAACGCAGCAAAGGGCTGGGAGCTCCCAGGAGGGCACCTAACCTCGCTGGAGATAGGGAGATGAGGGCGTGCACTTCCTGAAGGAGGTGAAGCTTGTGTTCTAATTCTTTCATTTAAAATTTATTTATATATTTATTAAAAAATTTTTTTTTTTTTTTTTGAGATGGAGTTTCGCTCTGTTGTCCAGGCTGGAGTGCCATGATCTTGGGCTCACTGCAACCTCTATGTCCTGGGTTCAAGCAATTCTCCTGTCTCAGCCTCCCAAGTAGCTGGGATCACAGATGCACACCACTGCGCCCAGATAATTTTTGTATTTTTAGTAGAGATAGGCTTTTACCATGTTGGCCAGGCTGATTTTGATCTCCTGACTTCAGGTGATCTGCCCGCCTTGGCCTCCCAAAGTGCTAGGATTATAGGCGTGAGCTACTGCACCCATCCTATTTATTTATTTTGAGACAGGTTCTCACTGTCACCCAGGCTGAGTGCAGTGGAGCAGTCTTGCTCACTACAGCCTAGACTTCTAGGGCTCAAGGGATCCTCCCACCACAGCCTCCCAAGTAGCTGGGACTTTAGGCCCGCACCACCATGTCCAACTAATTTTATTTTTTGTAGAGGCAAGGATTTCCGATGTTGCTGAGACTGGTCTCGAAATTCTGGGTTAAAGTGATCCTCTCACCTTGGCCTCCCAAATTGCTGGGATTACAGGCGTAAGCCACCACACCAGGCCTGGTGGTGAAGTTTGAACAAGAATGACTGTGGGCCAAGTGCAAAGGCTCACACCTGTAATTCCAGCACTTTGGGAGGCTGAGGCAGGAGGATCGCTTGAGCCCAGGAATTTAAAACCAACCTGGGCAACAGAGTGAGATCTCATTTTTACAAAAATATCCAAAAATTAGCCAGGTGTGGTGGTGCGTGCCTGTAGCTCCAAGTACCCAGGAGGCTGAGGCAGGAGGATGACTTGAGCCCAGGAGGTTGAGGCTACAGTGAGCCGTGATCAAACCACTGCACTCCAGCCTGGGCAACAGAGCAAGACTTTGTCTCTGTTGGATAGCCTGAGGGATGTGGGAAGTCACTAACTCAAAGAAACAGAAGCTTCCTAGGCTGAAAGCAAGATGTGCAATGAAGGTGAATGCAAGGAGTCTGACTGAGGTGAAACAAAATATATCCATATGATCTTGCAACCCCATTCCAGATAAAATGTCAAATCTGGCAGCTGCATTTGGAATTTTTCTTGACTGTGTGATCTCATCAGTTTAAATATCAACAGATGCTCTTTTCTTTTTCCTCCATCTCCTACGCTCCTCTTTTTTTTTTTTTTTTTTAATAGACTTTCACTCTTGTCGCCCAAGCTGCAATGGCACAGTCTTGGCTCACTGCAACCTCTGCCTCCTAGGTTCAAGCGATTCTCCTGCTTCAGTCTCCCCAGTAGCTGGGATTACAGGCAGATGCCACGATGCCTAATTTTCTTATTTTTAGTAGAGACCGTCACCATGTTGGTCAGGCTGGTTTTGAACTCCTGACCTCAGGTGATCGACCTTGGCCTCCCAAAGTGCTGGGATTGCAGGCTTGAACCCCAGTGCCCGGCAGGATGCTGTCTTTAATTGGCAGTGTGGCAACATTGATAAGATTTTGAAATGGTCATATCCCCCTGATATTGCAGTTCCACTGCAGGAGTCTCTCCTATAGAAATCTTCCCAGAGGTGAGTAAAGAGGCAGGTACAAGGCAGTTCACTTGTTTGTTGTAGTGACAAACCTAGCCTGGGCAACATAGTGAGACCCCATCTCTACAAAACAAAGCAAAAAGCCTGGCATGGTGGTATGTACCTGTAGTCCCAGCTACTCAGGAGGATGAGGCAGGAGGATCCCTGAGCTATGATGGTACCACTGCACTCCAGCCTCGGCGACAGAGCAAGACCCTGTCTCTTTAAAAACAAAAACAAAAAATGGGAAACAATCTAAATGTCCATCAGTTGGTGACTGATCAGTTTCCTTCTGTGAAATACTGTGTAGCCATTCCATAGCATTAGAGGTAGTCTGTGTCTCTATCTCTGATGAGAAAGATGTTCATAATACATTGTTAATGAAAGACACAGGTTGGAAAACATTATCTACTCTACATTCTATTTTTACATTAAATATATAGATAATATGAGTAATACACGGTTTTCAGCATAATAGAGATGTGACACTTTTCTCCTGATACTAAAATAGACAGATAGCCAGATAAAATATAGTGGTAGAAAAATCTGGAACAAGGCCAGTTGTGGTGTAATGCCTGTAATGCCAGCACTTTGGGAGGCTGAGGCAGGTGGATCACCTGAGATCAGGAGTTCGAGACCAGCCTGACCAACATGATGAAACCCCATCTCTACTAAAAAGTAAAAAATTAGCCAGGCATGGTGGTGCATGTCTGTCATCTCAGCCACTCGGGAGGCTGAAGCAGGAGAATTGCTTGAGCCCAGGAGGTGGAGGTTGCAGTGAGCCAAAATTGCACCATTGCACTCAAACCTGGGCAACAAGAGCAAAACTTCATCTCAAAAAAAAAAAAAGAAAAATCTAGAATAATAAATGATATTACTGGATGTCTCCTGAGAGATCAGCAAACCTAACCCTATTTAACAGAAGAGGAAAGTAAAGACCAGAGAGCCACGCATTCTCCAGTCTATATATGTTTAGGGTACTAACCATGTGCCAGGCACTTGCTTGGTGCTGGGGCTATAAAAGTAAACACGGGGCCGGGCATGGTGGCTCACACCTGTAATCCTAGCATTTTGGGAGGCCGAGGCAGGTGGATCACCTCTGCTGAACTCCAGTGGCCACCTCTGCTTGAACTCCGCTGGTCAGGAGTTCAAGACCAGCCTGGCCAACACGGTGAAACCCTGTCTTTATTTACTAAAAATATGAAAAGTTAGCCGAGTGTGTTAGCAGACATCTGTAATCCCAACTATTCAGGAGGCTGAGGCAGAAGAATCACTTGAACCCAGGAGGCAGAGGTTGCAATGAGTCGAGATGGTGCCATTGCACTCCAGCCTGGGCAACAAGAACGAAACTCCATCTCAAAACAATAAAATAAAATAAACATGGGCCAGGCGCAGTGGCTCTTACCTGTAATCTCAGAATTTGGGAGGCCGAGGGGGAAGGATTGCTTGAGGCCAGGGGTTTGAGACCAGCCTAGGCAACAAAGCAAGACCCTGTCTCAACAAAAAATAAGATATAAATTATTAATAGCCAGGTGCAGTGTTATGCTCCAGCTACTCTGGAGGCTAAGGTGGGAAGATGGCCTGAGCCCAGGAATTGGAGGCTACAGTGAGCTGGGACTGTACCACTGCACTCCAGCCTGGGCATCAGAGTAAGACTCTATCTCTAAAGAATAAAAATAAAGTGCCGGGCGTGGTGGCTCACGCCTGTAATCCCAGCACTTTGGGAGGCTTAGGAGGGTGGATCACGAGGTCAGGAGATAGAGACCATCCTGGCTAAGACGGTGAAACCTCGTCTCTACTAAAAATACAAAGAAATTAGCCAGGCATGGTGGCACACACCTGTAATCCCAGCTACTTGGGAGGCTGAGGCAGGAGAATCGCTTGAACCCAGGAGGCAGAGGTTGCAGAGAGCCAAGATCGTGCCACTGCACTCCAGCCTGGGCGATAAAGCCTTCTCAAACAAAACAAAACAAACAAACAAACAAACGAAAAGAATAAAAATAAAGCGAACGAAACACAGTACCTACTCTCAAGGAGTTCACAGGAGCGTGAATGATAGTGTCCCACAGGCAGGACATTACACGCAGCTTAATGAGAAATAACAAAAACATGTTCAAGCTGCAATGAGAACCTAATCTAGGCAAGACCCTGTCTCGAAAACAAAACAAAACCGAACCCTGAGGCATCCATATTAGCCATCGATTCAGTTCATATCACTATATATTCTCCATTCTTTTACAGATAGTTTGATTAGCTAAGATCATACTTACAAAAAAACCCACAAAAATGACTCCCTTCCTAAACTCATGATATTTAAGGTCCAGTGAAAATTCTCAAGTCTCAAATGTGTCTCCAGCTGGGGCCACTGACGTCTGATGTACAATGCCGTCACTTCTGGGTTTTCGGGGTCTCTAGGGCCAGTCCTGGTCACCTTCTCCACTGGGCTGTCTGGCCCATGCCCCACGGGGTCAACATGGAGGGGTCTTTAACGGCCAGGGGTATGTCGAAAAAACAGGGAGGGCAACATAGCACTGTAATTTTTGGTGAAGGCTTTTTGGTTAGGATACGAATTCAGGTTTCATCTGCTCTGGCTTTCTGCCTGAGCGACCCTGGATGGAGGCGCGGTTATCGTGCCCCCTGGTGGCTACCGGACTTCAAAGGGGGAGTTCTGAAGGTCAAAAGGATCCCAGGGCTTGCTTGGTCAGGGGGACCTTGGAGCTCCGCTTGGCGGTTTGTCCAGTCTGCAGCACCAGTCCATCCTTTTAGGGAAGATGTATTCAAACAGTCTCTTGTAAGTCAAATGCGCCTTCCTGGCGTCCTGCCCTGCACGTGAGGGCCGGGCTGGTGGGTGGAAACCTGGGCCGGCTCCACGGGGAACGTTGCGGTTGTAGACCGGATGCCTCGTGACCAGTGCGTTGTGCCCACCCCACCCACCCCTGAGCCACATACACCGTCCCCTACCCTCCCACCCTCGGGCCAAGGGGCGGTGCCCTCGTACCCCATTTCCGAGCCCATGCGGAGGGAAGTGAGCCCAGACACCATCGTTGCCCCCCAGCAACAGCGCGTCTATGCTCCTATTTAAGAAAAATTCTTTTTTTTTTTTGAAAGAGGGTCCTGCTCTCCCAGGCTAGACTGAGTGCAGTGACGCAATCTTGTCACTGCCTCCATCTTCTGGGTTCAAGCAATTCTCCTACCTCAGCCTCCTAAGTACTGAATATCTGGGACACAGGCGTTTGCCACCACCCCTAGCTATTTTTTTGTATTTTTAGTAGAGATGTACAATGCCGTCACTTCTGGGTTTTCGGGGTCTCTAGGGCCAGTCCAGGTTTCACTATGTTGGCCGGGTTGGTCTCGAACTCCTGACCTCAGGTGGCCCACCCACCTCGGCCTCCCAAAGTGCTGAGATTACAGGTGTGAGCCACCGTGCCTGGCCAGAAAAATTATTTTCATTACTGAAAACAAAAGTGGGTGGGGGGCATTGACATGTGAACCAAACTCTCGATAGTGCTTATATCCTAGACTAGGGTTCTGGAGAATTTTTACTTTCTCCATTATAGACTCTAAATCTCTGTAGTGTTGGGCTTTTGCACAATGTACAGCTATTTTATGATCAGAAAAAAGGCAACATTTAAGAGTTAATGTATTTCATTGCCTTTTTCCCCTTGGATTGCATGCACACTATACCACCTTCTGGTTGTGATATGCAGCAGGGACGAAAACCATTAAATCGTGAATAGTTATAATTTCCTCCTTGTGAGAGCTGTGTGTGTGTGTGTGTGTGTGTTTTGAGACAGGGTCTCGCTCCGTCGCCCAGGTTGGAGTGCAGTGCAGTGGCGCAATCACAATTCACTGCAGCCTCAACCTCTTGGGCTCAAGTGGTCCTCCAGCCCCACCTCCCTGCCCCCCCCCCCCCCACCATACCAGGCTGATATTTTTATTTTTCTTTGAGACAGAGTCTTGCTCTGTCACCCAAGCTGGAATGCAGTGGTGCAATCTCAGCTCACTGCAACCTCCGCCTCTTGGATTCAAGCAATCCTCCCACTTCAGCCTCCCTAGTAGCTGGGACTACAGGTGAGCAACACGATGCCTGGCTTTTTTTTTTTTAGGCTGGAGTACAGTGGTACCATCTCAGCTCACTTCGACCTCCGCCTCCTGGTTTCAAGTGATTCTCCTGCCTCAGCCCTATCAAATAGCTGGGAATACAGGCATGTGCCACCATGCCCAGCTAATTTTTGTATTTTTAGTAGAGACAGGGTTTCACCATGTTGGCCAGGCTGGTCTCGAACTCCTGACTTCAGGTGATCCACCTGCCTTGGCCTCCCAAAGTGCTGGGATTACAGGTGTGAGCCACCCCACCTAGCCTGAGTTTAAAATTTTTTTTTTGTAGAGATGAAATCTCACTCTGTTACCCAGACTGGTCTTGAACTCCTGGGCTCAAGCAATCCTCCTGCCTCAGTCTCCCTAGTAGCTGGACTACAGGTGCATGCCACCATGCCTGGCTAATTAAAAAAAATTTTTTTTTGGCTGGGTGTGGTGGCTCATGCTTGTAATCCAAGCACTTTGGAGGCCAAGGCAGGCGGATCACCTGAGGTCGGGAGTTCGAGACCAGCCTGACCAACATGGTAAAATCTCATCTTTAAAAAAAAAAGAAAATTATTTTTTGTAGAGACAGGGTCTTGCTATGTTTCCCAGTCTGGAGTACAGTGGCACGATCATAGCTCACTGTAGTCTCGAACTCCTGGCCTGAAGTGATCGTCTTCCCTCAGCCTCCCAAAGCAGTGGGACTGTATGTGCCACTCTGGCCAGAATGGATGAGGGGAGATCACTTAAGAGGGCACTGCTTAATCTCATTAGTGGGCACACATCCCAGAGTAATCTTCACATAGCCCACAAGGAAATGAGCATGAAGTTGTTCACTGTGGCATTGTTTGTGGTAGCCAGTAGGCAACTTACAGGCCCATCATAAGTAAAATGTGGGTGCCCACTTTGAAATATTGCATGGTTGCTGTAAATCATAGGTGATGTGTGCACGACGACAGGTCTTGAAAACACAGGGCTGAGGCCGGGCATGGTGGCTCATGCCTGTGCTCAACCTTGGCAACAGCAATTAAAAAACAGGCTCACTTTGGGAGGTTGAGGTAGGTGGATCGATCGCCTGAGGTCAGGAGTTTGAGACCAGCCTGGCAACATGGTGAAAACCTGTCTCCACTAAAAATACAAAAAAATTAGCCCAGCATGGTGGCACGCACCTGTAATCTCAGCTACTTGGGAGGCTGAGGCAGGAGAATTTCTTGGACCCGGAAAGCAGAGGTTGGCATGAGCCGAGATTACATCATTGCACTCCAGCTTGGGAGACTCCATCTCAGAAAAAAAAAAGAAAAAGAAAAAGAAAAAAGAAAGCACAAGACTGGGTAGAAAAAGAAATACGATGAGGTTGATAGCACAATACCATTAAATTGAAAATACAAATACACACTAAACAACTCATGTTTTATTAGAACACACAGTTGGCCAAGGCAGGAGGAGAGGAGGAAAGGGTTAAAAGGACATAAATATATAAAACAATGCTGGGCAAGGTGGCTCACACCTGTAATTCCAGCACCTTGGGAGGCCAAGGTGGATCACTTGAGGTCAGGAGTTTAAGACCAGCCTGGCCAACATGGTGAAACCCCATATCTACTAAACATTCAAAAATTAGCCAGGCGTGGTGGTGCTTGCCTGTAATCCCAGCTACTGAGGAGGCTGAGGCACAAGAATTGCTTGAACCCGGGAGGCAGAGGTAGCAGTAAGATGAAATCGCACTACTGTACTCCAGCCTGAGTGACAGCGTGAGACTCTGTCTCAAAAAATTTTAAAAGTGATAAATAAATAGGGAGTCCATGCAGAGCCTAATGACAAAGCAAGTCATTAAGTAGAAATAAATAATTCAACCTTGGCAACAGCAATTAAAAAACAGAAAGCTGGCCGGGTGTGATGGCTAACTCCTGTAATCCCAGCACTTTGGGAGGCTGAAGTGGGCAGATCACCTGAGGTCAGGAGTTCGAAACCAGTCTGGCCAATGTGGCGAAACCCCATCTCTACTAAAAATACAAAAATTAGCTGGGTGCGGTGGTGGACGCCTGTAATCCCAGCTACTCGGGAGACTGAGGCAGAAGAATAACTTGAACCCAGGGGGCAGAGGTTGCAGTGAAGGGAGATGGCGCCACTGCACTCCAGCCTGGGGAACAAGAGCAAGACTTAGTCACACACACACACACACACACACACACACACACACCAGAAAGCCTTGGCTGGGCGCGGTGGCTCACACCTGTAATCCCAGCGCTTTGGGAGGCCAAGGCAGGTGGATCACGAGGTCAAGAGACCGAGACCATCCTAGCCGGTCTCGTGCCACTGCACTCCAGCAAGATGGAGCTCAGAGCAGATGGGGCTTAGAGCAGTTAAAAAAAAAAAAAAAAAGAAAAGAAAGAAAGAAAAAGAAAACTGAGTCTAGATCATTCTTTTGAGAAATGAGGATGTGGGGAAGACAGAGCAATTCCTTACATGTGGACATCACTCTAAAACACATTGTAAAAAGTTAATAAATACATGTTTATTGTAGAAAATCAGATATTAACATAAATGTTTAAAACAGGGCAGAGCGAAAAAAATTTAAAAAACAATTGTGAGCCCCAAATCTCTCCTGATCAGTGACTAGGATTGTTTTATTTATTTATTTATTTATATTTTTGAGATGGAGTCTTGCTCTGTCCCTAGGCTGGAGTGAAGTGGCGCCATCTCAGCTCACTGCAACCTCTGCCTCCTGGGTTGAAGCAATTTTCCTGCCTCAGCCTCCTGAGTAGCTGAGACTACAGGCATGCACCAACATGCCCAGCTAATTTTTGTACTTTTTTATGGGGTTTCACCATGTTGGCCAGGATGGTCTCAATCTCCGGACCTCATGATCCACCTGCCTTGGCCTCCCAGAGTGCTGGGATTACAGGTGTGAGCCAATGTGCCCGGTTGGAGTTTCACTCTTTGTTGCCCAGGCTGGAGTCCAGTGTGTGACCTTGGCTCACTGCAACCTCTGCCTCCCGGGTTCAAGCGAATCTCCTGGCTCAGCCTCCCGAGTAGCTGGGATTACAAGCACCCACCACCACACCCAGCTAATTTTTGTATTTTTAGTAGGGACGGGGTTTCACCCTGTTGGCCAGGCTAATCTCGAATTCCTGACCTCAGGTGATCTGCCCACCTCACCCTCCCAAAGTGCTGGGATTACAGGTGTGAGCCACCACGCCTGGCGTAGGGTTATTTTTTTTTAATTTATTTTATTTTTTGAGACAGAGTCTTGCTCTGTCACCCAGACTGGAGTGCAGCGCTGCAATATTGTGTCATCACAAACTCCGCCTCCCAGTTCAGGTTATTCTCCTGCCTCAGCCTCCTGAGTAGCTGGGATTATAGGTGTGCACCACTACACCTGGCTTATTTTTGTTTTTTGTGTTTTTTTTTTTGCGACAGAGTCTCACACTGTCGCCCAGGCTGAAGTGCGGTGGCAGGATCTCAGCTCACTGCAACCTTCGCCTCCTGGGTTCAAGCAATTCTTCTCCCTCAGCCTTCCGAGTATTTGGACTACAGGCGAGCGCCACCATGCCCAGCTAATTTTTGTATTTTTAGTGAAGACAGGGTTTCACCATATTGGCCAGGCTGGTCTCCAACTCCTGGCCTTGTGACCTACCCGCTTCGGCCTCCCAAAGTGCTGGCATTACAGGCGTGAGCCGCAGCTGGGTTACGGCTGATATTTAACAATCAGGAGAAAGAGCTCCTGAGATCTTTACAAATTCAAAAATTGTGAAATCCCTCAAAGCATAACTTTCCTAAAATGCAGTAAGTCGAACTGAGGCTGGGTGGATGGACATGTTATTCACTGACCTAGAGCACACAGAAAGAAATGCCAAGTGTGATGGAAGAAAACGACGAATTAATTTTCGGGTTAATATAGTTCCAGTGCTAAGCCTGAGATTCTCTAATAAACAGAAAAATACTGACGGGGCTGAGTCCAGTGGCTCACGGCTGTAATCCCAGCACTTTGGGAGGCTGAGGCAGGAGAATCACTTGACCCCAGGAACTAAAGAACAGCCTAGGCAACATAGCAAGACCCCCATCTCTACAAAATTTTTTTTTAATTAGCAGAATGTGCTGGTGTGAGCTTGTAGTCCTAGCGGCTCAAGAGCCCTGGTGGCACCATTGCACTCCAACCTGGACAACAGAGCAAGACCCTGTCTCAAAGAGAAAAAAAGAAAAAAGCATGCTGATGTCCAGGCACTGTGCTAGGTCCTAAGAATACACAGGTGAACAAAAGATGATCCCAATCTCATAGGACTTGCAAGTCCATCAAATAATCAACAAACAAATATATAATTACGGACATTTGAAGCGTTAAGAAATTGTATGATACTATGATGGCCTTCGATAAATACCATTGAGGCTACACGTCCATTGCACTTCCATATCCTTAATACTTTTCTAAGAAGACTCCCTAAAATTTCAATTTCTTAGCGATCTACTTGTTTTTAATTTTTTAACAACAGACTTTATTTTTTAGGGCAGTTTTAGGTTCGCAGCAAAATTGAGCAGAAAGTGCAGTTTCCATATTACCATATTTCCTGCGCCCACCCTCCTCCAGCAAGCAACAATCTGCTCGCTTTCAAGCTGTTGTTGTTTTATTTTTTGCATTTTGTTTAAAACAGAGTCTGGAAGAATGGAAGAAAACGCTGAAAACGCACCCGCACTCTGGTTGGTTGAAAGGGTTCCGCCAGGAGCCGGAGAGGTATGGCAAGTAAAAACTACATTTCCCAAGGGGCAGCGCGTCACGTCACAGAGGAACGACCGCGCATGCGTAGAGGGGCCTCGCGCGACTACGCTCATACAAGGAAAAAAAAGCGTGTACGGTTCTCGACGTGCCGCCAATCTTCGAACGGAGGTCCGTGACCATCGCAGACTCCGAAAAAGCGTTCGACGAATGCGCCTGTTCCCCACGTCGGTTTCCAGCCCGACGAGCTTGTTTTGTCCGAGACTGGGTAGGTGGGGACGGGCTGTGGCCTAAGCCCTCCGGCAAAGCGCGGGAGCCAAGGGCTGAGTCCTCCCTTTGAGCAGTGGTTCCCGGCCTCCCTGAGGCGGCGCTCGAGGGGCGGTGCGCTAGCGCTGCGGATGGGAGGGGCGGGGCTCGGGGAGGGCGGGCCCTGTGCCCGGCCTCTCGAGGTCTGCGCGTGCGCGCTTCCATCCCGGATGATGGGAAACTGCGGCACGCCGGGCTTGACAGGGACGCGGCCCCCCAGGTGGCATACTCGGCCCAGGGTCACGAAGATGCGGACAGAGGCTGGGCCCCGAACTCCAGCACTTATTATTTGCACAAAAGAATCTTTTTTTGTTTTTTTAAAGATACACAGCTTGTCATTTGCTCAGGCTGGTCTCTAACTCGTGGACTCAGCATCCCGCCTCGCCCTCCCAAAGTGTGGGGAGTATAGGCGTGAGTCCCCGCGCCCGGACAAAAATGCCCGTCTTAACAGCAAAACAACCTCCTTCACTCTCCCTATTCTCTAGTTACCTTCTCAGCTCGGGTTTGCAGCCAGAGACCTCAGCCTATCTTCCCTAGTGCCTCCTCCAAGTCTTGAACCCTTGAGCCTATAGTCAGGCTTTGGTCTCCACCACTTCACTAAAACAGTTCCTTGTCGCCAGGAGCGGTGGCTCACGCCTGTAATCCCAGCACTTTGGGAGGCCGAGGTGGGTGGATTACCTGTCAGGAGTTTGAGTCCAGCCTGGCAAACCCCCATTTCTACTAAAAATACAGAAATTAGCCTGGCATGGTGGTGTGTGCCTATAATCCCAGCTACTTGGGAGGCTGAGGCACGAGAATCGCTTGAACCCGAGAGGTGGAGGTTGCAGTGAGCTGAGATGGTGCCACAGTTGCACTCCAGCCTGGGTGACAGTGAGACTCCGTTTCAAAAAAAAAAAAAAACAAAAACAAAAAACATAAACAGCTCTTTATCAGAGCCATCGGTGATCTCTAGGTGGCCAAATTCATTGTTAAGTTAGGTCTCAGTCTTGTAGCAGCATTTGATGCTGTTGATCACTGCCTCTTCTTGAAATGCTGTCTTCATTTGGCTTGCTGAACATTCTCTTCCTTTGCCTCTGGCCTGCTGATTCTTCCCTAGGCATTATCAATCTCTTTTTTTTTTTTTTTTCTTCGAGACAGGTTCTCTGTTGCTCAGACTGGAGAGCAGTGGTGCTGTCACAGCTCACTGCAGCCTCTTGCAGCCTCAAACGTCTGGGTTTAAGCAGTCCTAACCAAAGCCTCCCCAAATGCTGGAATTACAGGCGCAAGCCACCACAGCCGGCCCCAGTTTCACATTTTAAATGTAAATACCGGCCAGGCGCGGTGGCACATGCCTGTAATCCTAGCAATTTGGGAGGCTGAGGTGGGCAGATTGCCTGAGGTCAGGGGTTTGAGACCAGCCCGGTCAACGTGGTAAAATCCAGTCTCTTCTAAAAATACAGTAACAGCAAAAATTAGCCAGGCATGTGGTGTGTGCCTGTAATCCCAGGTACTTGAGAGGCTGAGGCACAGGAATCGCTTGAACTCAGGAGGTGGAGGCTACAGTGAGCCAAAATTGTGCCACTGCACCCCAACCTGGGTGACAAAGCAAGACCCTGTCTCAAAAGAGTCCTAGAGGTGGAAGAAAATCCATGTATAAGTGGACCTGCACAATTAAACCTATATTGTTCAAGGGTCAACTGTGTAGATGTATTGAACTGTATAGATGTATAGATGTATTGAGATTTATTGTGATGGATTGGGTCATACAATTATAGAGGCTGAAAAGTCCCAAGATTTGCCATCTGCAAGCTGGAAGCCCAGTAAAGCAAACCCTCTGGAACTCACAGACACACTCAGAAGTGTTACCACCAGCTATCTGGGCATCCTCTAGCCGAATCAGGTTGCACATAAAGTTAACCATCACATTTCCCTAACGTTTTTCAGTTGCCCCAATCATCATTTTACTGGTGATACTTTGACAAGTGTTATAATAATAGCTAATGGTGGATTGGCAGTTTACAAGAGACCAGAAGCTTCCACTTCCATGATCTTTTACTATTGAATATGGTGAATTTGTAACAAAACTTGGAATTCAGGGGAGGAGCATGGGTTTTAGAATTTGTAGCCTTGTAGCCCCAGCTCAACTATTTTTCCTGAGTTCCCTGCATAACCTATCTGAACTGCAGTTTTCCCACTCTACTTACCATTCTGATATCTATTTGTTTTTTTGTTTTTTGTTTTTTTTTTAACACTGCTCCTTCTGTACTGATAGGATTGCTGTAAGGTTTAAATGAGAAACACTGGCATAAGTTGCAATACAGAGGCATGGAGAAAAAAAATCGTCATCTTAATGTCTCTTTAACTAATTGATGAATATAGATTCTATTTATTTTTGAGATGGAGTCTTGCTCTGTCGCCCAGGCTGGAGTGCAATGGCACGATCTCGGCTCACTGCAATCTCCGCCTCCTGGGTTCAAACAATTCTCCTGCCTCAGCCTCCTGAGTAGCTGGGATTACAAGCATGCATCACCATGCTTGGCTAATTTTTGTATTTTTAGTAGAGATGGGGTTTCACCATGTTGGCCAGGCTGGTCTGGAACTCCTGACTTCAAGCGATCTGTCTACCTTGTCCTCCCAGAGAGCTGGGATTACAGGTGTGAGTCACTGTGACTGGCCTTTATTTATTTATTTATTTATTTATTTATTTATTAGAAACAAAGGCTTTGTTCCAGGCTGGAGTGTAGTGGTGCAATAATAGCTCACTGTATTCTCAAACTCCTGGGCTCAAGTGATCCTCCTGCCACAGCTTCTCAGTAGCTAGGACTATACATGTGCACCACCATGCCGGGCTAATTATTTTATTTTGTTTTTGTAGAGACAGGGCCTTCCTGTGTGGCCCAGGCTAGTCCCAAACTCCTGACCTCAAGTGACCCTCCCATTTTGGCCACCCAAAGTGCTGGGATTATAGACATGAGCCACTGTACCCAGTTTGCAGATTCTCATTGCCAGTGACTGATTTGAGATTGTGAGATCTATGTGTAGAGTATTAGGTTCCTCTTTCTCTTTGAGCCAGACAGAACCTTAATCCTCTATAGCATTCATCTTTGAGTGGCTTACATATAGGATATTTGGATTTGTTTGAGGCCTTGGACACTATTATAGTAAAAGGGCCAGCAATTTTAGGTGGGGTATTAGTGGTTAACATGTGCTTCTACCCTGCAGCTTTTGTCCCTCAGTTTGAGCTCTCTCGATCATCCTTAATTAAAGTTTTTCTTGTTAATCAAGCTACTCAGTTGCAGCAGATAACAGAAAGCTAACCCCGACTAGCCTAAGCATGAAAGGGGTTTTTGTTGACTCTGTGATATTGTAAATATATATCTGGTCTGTGTCCCAGTTCGAAATGCTTATGGAGCTTCCTGGAGGGTGGTCTGCCCAGGGAGGACATGAAAGCTCCTCGCTTCTTCCTGTGTGCTTTGCCCTGTGTGCTGCTTCCTTCTTTTGTATCCACTGTGACGTCTTTTATAATAAACCAGTAAACCTAAGTGTTTCCCTGAGTGCTGAGAGCTGCTCCTGTAAATTTATGGAACCCAAGGAGGGAGTCGTGGAAACCCTGATTTATAAAAGTCAGTTGGTCAGAATCACAATTAAAGTAACCAGGGCTTATGACTGGCATCGAGACTTGGGGGGACATGCTTGTGGAACTGAACCCCCAGCATGTGGGGTTTGACACCCTGTCTGGGTGGATAGTGTTGGAAATAAACTGAATTAGAGGATATCCAGCGTACATCCACTGTAGACTTGATGGATTGATTGTTGGGAGAAATCCCTACACGTTTGGCCACAGAAATCTTAGATGTTGATTGATTGCACATTTTGACAGCAGAGGAGAAACCATGTTTTTTTTTCCTCACAGACTCCAGCTGAAGAGGCCTGGAGTAAACCAGCTTCAGATGGGACTCTATCCAGAAGCCTAAACTATGTCACCAGTATTTTTTTTTTTTTTTTTTTTTTTTTTTGTTGAGACAGGGTCTTGAACTCCTGGCCTCAAGAGATCTTCTTGTCTCAGCCTCCTGAAAGCTGGGGCTGCAGGAGCCCACCACTACACCTGGGTACTTTTTATTTTTGGTAGAGATAGAGCCTTGCTGTGGTGACCAGGCTGGTCTCCAACTCCTGGGCTCAAGCAGTCCTCTGTCCTCAGCCTCCCAAGGTGTTGGGATTACAGGCATGAGCCACTGTGACCCGCCTGTTTATTAGTTTTGTTAAATGCCTTGGTAGGCGTTAAAAAGCTCATCATGTAAAGAAGATAGCCCCAGAGGAGGGGTTCTGAATTCTTCATGTAAAAGTCTTCCTCAAACGCTCAAATGTCCATCATTAGATGAATGGATTAAAAAACTGAGATCTATCCATACAATGGAACGTTATTTAACCATAAAAAGGAATGAAGTAGGCCAGGTGCGGTGGCTCACACCTGTAATCCCAGCACTTTGTGAGGCCGAGGTGGGCAGATCCCGAGGTCAGGAGTTTGAGACCAGTGTAACCAACATGGAGAAACCCGTCTCTACTAAAAATACAAAAATTAGCTGGGCCTGTAATCCCAGCCACTTGGGAGGCTAGGGCAGGAGGATCGACTGAGCTAAGGAAGTCAAGGCTGCAGTGAGCTGTGATTGTACCACTTTTCTCCAGCCTGGGCAATAGGGATGAGACCCTGTCTCAAATAGATAGATACACAGAAACATTGATAGATACATTGATAGGGTATTGTATGCCATTCGAATTATTTCCATTAAGCTGTTTTTGTTGTTTTTGTGAGACAGAGTCTCACTCTCACCCACACTGGAGTACAGTGATGTGATCTTGGCTCACTTCAACCTCCACCTCCCAGATTCAAGCTATTCTCATGCCTCAGCCTGCCAAGTAGCTGGGATTACAGGTGTGCACCACCATGCCCGCTAATGTTTGTATTTTTTAAATAGAGACAGTGTT